TCAGTTGCTTGAGCACCATCCCTTGCATCGAAAGGTCACTGGTTCAATTCCCGGTCAGGGCACATGCCCAGGTTGCTGCAGGTTCAGTCCCAGTTGCGGTGCATGAGGGAGGCAACTGATTGATGTTTCTCTCACATCGATGTTCCTCTCTCTCTCCCCCCTCTCCCTTCCTCTCACTCTAAAATCAATAAAAACATTTTTTTTTTAAAAAAGAACAATGTAGTTGGAGGCTATAGAGACTGATATGTGGTCCCATTTCCTAATTTTTAAAGTCTGAGCATGTGCCAGGATAGCAGACAGGTCTTGAGTGTCAACTCTGACAGATTTGCATTGGCTGCTAGGGAACTGCAACGAGAAGGCTCTCCAATGAGAGAGGGTTGTGATTAATTAAGAATGTCTGCTGTGGGCATAGGTAAGGGATGGCAGCATGGAAAACAGATGTTTGTCATCTCTGGGCACATTTCTTAACTCCTCTAGGTATCAGTTATATCGCTTACAAAACAAGGTTAATAAAACCTTACCTGAGTGAAGGTAGGATACTGGCCAAGAGAGTTCTTTTATATCCTCAGAGGGGACTTTCTGTCCCTAGGTGCATATATTCCAACTCATTTTATGCATACCATTGCATCATGTAGTCGTGAAAATTCATTAGTATGTGTGGGATGGGGCTTCTGAAGGGAACTCAACAGATTGAGTCATTGAAAACTGCTCCTAAAAAGAGCAGAGACTTTGACAGAAAGAATGAATCATTTATTGGCACTTAAGGGTGCCAATCATCACTGCCCTACCAACCATCTGTGAGCTGAATATGCCTCCTGGTCTCTAAATCCAAGGCCTGTATTTCTGTCTGGGGTGATACGTTGAGGAGGCATGAATCCTCAGATAAACATACTTCCTCTTTTCAGTTGTGCTTTGGTGAATACGAGCAATATCTGTTTCTTAAGGTAGACAAGATGTACTAATCAGGATCCCAGTGGGAAATATACTCAAAGGGTTTATTTGAAGAGATTTTAATAGAGGTTCTATTTATAGAGCTATGGTCACGTTACGGGAACCAACAAGGGCAGTGAGATAATCAGTGACTAGCAATGCAAGGGGCCATTGCCACTCACAGCCTGAAGGAATGACAGGAGGGAGGTGTTACTGGAACCAGTAAGTGCTGTGGCTGAGCAAAAAGGCTGCTCAACTGAGCCATGGCTGTGGAAACTGAGCTGCTAGCCAAAATCCTGCCACACCAGGCGAGGTGGGGAGTTAATACCCAGAACGATCTCTCCTCTCATCTGCTGATAGCCTGCCGGAGGGTAAGGGAGCCCGGGTGGTAGAGACATGGAAGACAGACCCCTTGGACCATGTAGCAGGGGTGGGGCAGGGTGAATAATGGCTCTAGAAGGACAAATGGAGAGGGCCCGGCACACATGAATAGACATATGAGTAGAATACATGTGTAGAATCACATGAATTTTAAAGATGTCACATCAGAGTTGAATAGGGAGGAAAGAGGGAGCACTGAGGCATGGGGAACCACATTCATCCTGATTTTGAGGGGCAGGCATCAGCCTGCATGAGGAAATTTGAAGCTTTGGGGAATATTTTTTTGAGTGACAATCTGATGTTTTTCTTTAACTTTAAGACACTCCTCCTGATCTCAGAGCAGATACCTGCATAGGGGCAGATAAAAGGCCTACAACTGCATTGCCCAACGTGGTGGCCTGGAGCCACGTGTGACCATTTATAGTTTAATGAAACTTATTAGAATGAGATGAAATAAAAAATTTAGTTCCCGAATCACACTAGCTACATTTCAAGTGCTCAATACTCGCACATGGTTATGCTCTATTAGACAGTGCATAACGTTCCCATCACTATGGCAAGTTCTACTGGGCCAGCTGGCCTGGATCCTTGTGCAAGGCCCTGGAGGGCGAGGGGGCTGGCGACAGGATCAAATGCTGTTTTCACCACGAAATCCACTTCTTGATGACAAGAGACTCTATCTGGGCTTGTATGGTTTTCCTGTGCAGCCAGCAAAATACTAATGATGATGATTGCAGCCCACAATTATTTAGTTCTTAAACATGAGCCAAACAGTGTGCTAAGGGTTTTATCTCCATTTTAATGGTGCAGAAACTGAGGCTTAGAGAAATTAAGTGACCACACAATATTAAGTTGCACCATATGATATTGCCATTATTTAGCTGTTTTTGATGAAAATGGCAAATTCACATGATTCAACCTCACAGTACATGGCAGAGCCAGGTTTCAAATCCAGCTCCAAAGACCATGTCAAGTTCAATGTGGCTAAGCCTCTGGAAGTGACCACCTTGAACCTCTTTCATAGGGCTGTTGAAGGATTGAGTGATGCTGGTTCTATGCCTGGCGCACAGTGGGGCTCATGGAATGCTGGGTTTTTTGTTTCCACTCCCTTCTGTCTGTCAGTCTCATTCTCTTGGGAGACAGAGCACAGCTGTTTAAACAGATGTGGCTAGTGAGACTGGGATGAGGGGGCTGCTGTCATTTACCAGATCCCCTCCCAGGGACCTGGAAAAGTTCATCTTCCTCACCAAGACCTCCTGTACCCCCTCTTCCCCACCCCTCTCTCTCTCAGGGAGTCTCTTCTGCTGGGCTCGTCAGGGTCATTCTCTCTGTGTCTCGAGCAGAGGGAGGGGTGATGACACTGACCCTTCCTGTTCCCTGTGTCCTTAACATCCCCAGCAGATGTACTTCATCAACAAGCCCCTCCCCTGGAGATCTCAGAAGGAGCTGGAAGGCTGGGGGTGGACTAGAGGGGCAGCTGCTGCACTGAGCTTGTCAGGTGGTTATATAAGCTGTGCTCCGACCTCCCTCCTGTTGTAACTGTTTCCATGGTTCTTTCTGGCAAGGAACCCAATTCAAAATCCCTCCCTCTTATTTGGCAAGAGGGAGAGAAGTCCCCTTGGTGGAGGGTCCTGCTATTTAGGTGGGGTTTTAGGATTTGAGGGTAATTGCCATCCATATGAGTAGCCTTTGTCTCTTGGAAGCAGTAGTATAGGGTGGCCAGATCTAGCAAATGAGAACAGAGGATGCTCAGTTCAGTTTGAATTGAAAACAAATAATAGATAATTTTTTAGTGGAAGTATATACCATGCAATAATTGGGACATACTTCTAATAATTGTTTATTTATCTGGAATTCAAATTTACTCAAGCATTCTGTATTTTATTGAGCAATCTTCCAATAAACAGTGGGATTTCTGTCCACCCTTCAGATGCCAAGTCAGTTATGATGACGCTAAGGGCATTTGGGAGTAGCGGGGAGGGAGATGTGGATCTAGGTTTTTCCAGCTGCACCCCAGTTTCACATTCAGAGGGAAGTGATTTAGACCCACGGTTCTCAGGATGTGATCCCTGGACCAGCAGCATCAGCATCAGCATCATCTGGTACATGGTAGAGACACAAATGCCAAGGTATCACCCAGACCTACGGAATCAGAGACTCTGGGGGTGGGCCCAGTCATCTGTATTTAACCAACCCTCCGGGTGAGGCTGATGCAGTTTGAAAACCATAAGTTTAGATTTTGAGCAAGGGCCTGAGGCATCAGACAGATCAGGGCTGGAAGCCCAGTCTCACTATTTACTGACTGTGCCAACTTGGCTGAATTACTTAACCTCTCTGAGCTTTTGTTTCTTTCTCAATAAAAAAGGAAGGTAATACCTAATTTAAGGACATATCAAGGATGAAATGAAGTTATATTTTATAAAATACAACCCATAGTGCCTGTAATTGCAAGAACAAACAAAACGATTACTCTCATTTATACGATACAAGTGTAGGTCCAGCCGTGCCCTGAGACACATTTGGTGGTCAGCAGGCCAAAAGTTCTAATTAGGGCAATCTCCATTTGCTCAGCACAAACGAGCCTTTAATTTCCAGGACTTCAATTTCCAAGAGTCTTATGGAAAAAGGAAGAAATTAGGAGAAAAGGGGGCAGCAAGAAAAAGGACCAGCACTCGGTTTCCTGGCCCACAGACAGGGCCCAGAGTGGAGGCCACATTGATCTCAATCACTTGTTCAGGGCTCTTCCCAGAACAGTGCCCCAAAGGCAGTTGGTTTTTTTCTGTTTGTTTGTTTTCCATGGAAAGATGAGAGAAAGGAGGCCTGGAGAGGTGAGAGCATGTCGGGCCCCTGTCAGGGGGGAGGGATTAACACACTTCAGCATATTTGAAAGGCTGAGTCTGGGGCTCTCATGTTAAACCCTAGACCAGGATTTCTCAGTGTTGGCTCTTGATATTTTGAGTCAAATAATTCTTTGCCATGGGGTTGTCCTGTGCATATTTAGCAGCATCCCAGGTCTCTACCTACTAGATGCCATACCCCCATCACAATGGTGACAGTCAAAAGCATCTCTAGAAATTACCAAATTTCCAGGGGGTGGGGGGAGGGCATGGACAATAAACAGATCTCCCTGAGCTGAGAACCATTGGTCTAGAGAATCTACTAGACAGCACTCTAACCATACAGTTTCCACAGCTTCCATTTATTGAGCATTTACAAATATCTTCATTCTCCGTGTTCATATTACAAGGCAGTTTCTTATTACTTACATTTTACAGTTGAAGAAACTGAGGTCAGACAGTTAGTAACTCGTCCCAAATCCTACAGCTGGTAGATCTGGGCGTCGGACTGAGGTTGGTCTAACGCCAAAGCTCCTATCGTTCCTGCTGCAGCAGTCCCCTCTCTCTGGAAAATCAAGGGTTTCTTGTCTTTAATGTAAAGCAAGTCTTCTCAAGTCCCAAAATATGTATTGAGAAGCTACAAGAGAAGCTAAGGAGTTGCTCCTCTCAAGGTGTTCTCAATGTCAATGTCATTGGGATGGTCGGGCTCTCACCCAGCACAACAGGAGGCAGCCTGAGTGTGGATTCAGGCGAACATCCGTGAGCTCGGGCCCTGGGAACTCAAAGCCCTCCTCGCACGTCTGCCTCCCGTGCCCCCTCGCGGGCCAGCCTGATGGGGACGGCCTGGGGCAGTCACCCCGCTGGCCTTGGGGTGGGCCGCGCGTTGCTGGCCGCCAGGCACGCGGCCACCTTCTGCCGGGCCCTGTGCGCGAAGCGCACCCGCCCCCTTTCCCGGCGCATGGCCGTGTACTCGTAGGCCTTGAGCTTGCTGTAGTAATCGGAGAACTTGTTGTAGAGGATGGAGATGGGCATCCCGTTGAGGATGATGCCCAGAGCGATGCAGAGGAAGGCGAAGAGCCTGCCCAGGTGGGTCTCCGGGAACATGTCTCCGTAGCCCACAGTGGAGATGCTCACCTGTGTAGGAAGGAAGGCGGGAGTGAAGTGTCAGCTCCACGAGGGAGGCAGGGAGGG